ATCCTTTGTTTTATGGCCAATATAGTTAGTGCGGATGGCAGGGCTGGAACCGTTCACCACGTTGTTGTCAAGGGTGAGAAGGACATTGGTAGCTGCTAAGGAACAAACAAACATAATGAGAAAAATAACAGAAGATGCTCTCACCAGAGTTCCTAGTTGTAAAAGACAGTTCATTTGGGGCAAGGGATGCAGGTAGAGGGGATCTGTGTGTGGAATAGCTTCTAAGGTCACTTTTATATACCTCTTACCTGGGTTACCCAGGGTAATTTACACACAACCAACATTGCTTAAGTTTCTCGGCTTGTTTTGGGTGGAATTCCCCCAGGTACCTTAAAAAAATAAAAGGGTACTCACAGCTGGAGCAGCCTTTGTTCCTGAGGATGTCTTCTGGTGTGGTTCCAAAGACAAACCTCACATTCTGCAGCACCCCCTGTGGGCAGAGGACACATGTTACTTGTAGAGCGCTGGGGAGAGGGACGTGGGAGGCAGAGACTGCTTACGCTAGGAAAAGCGCACAATAGATGCTCTAGAAGTTTGAAAGAGCTCCCTTTTAAGATCACCATGTCAAAATAACACACCAACATAAACTGCCAAACAACTTCAAAATCTTAACTGTGTCTTCTGCCAAGTCTTCAGTATTTTACAAAGAATTCAGTTATCAGCCCACTTGGGTACACAGGAAATGGAATCTGATACTACAGTTGAAGATATAATGACACTTTTCAGTGTCAAAGAGTTAAATGTGGGCGTTTCAAAGCGACAGTTGCAAAAACCTAGAAGTTTAAGCAAAGAAGAGGCTGCAGCAGCAAATCACTACTTTAACCTTTTATCTGAGACCAGCTATATATCCCCATGAGGGATCAAATAGCAAAGTGGTATTTATTCTGTTTGAACCAAGCATCCAATTTCACGCAATATTACAGTTGGTTGAATGCATCTGAAATAAGTTACTTTCTTGAGAAGAGTATAAGGAGTACCTAAAGCTTGAACAGGCTTGTTATAGGAAAACCATTTATTTCCTTTAGTGGCTTTCAAAGTGTAGTCCCCAGAACACCCCCACCAGCATCAGCCTCACCTGGAACTTGTTAGAAATGCAAATTATCAGGCCCCAGCCCAGATCTACTGAATCTGAAACCCTGGGGGTGGGGTGCAGCAATATGCGTTTTGACAAGCCTTCCAGGAGATTCTGAAGCTCTCTAAAGTTTAAGAACCACTGCTTTAGTCCACAGGCAGTATTTTCTGTACTGGGACTCCTGCCTCTCCTGCTAGAGCCCTCCTGACAGATCAGCTGGCCAGTAGACAACCCCACAGGCCAGGAATTGGAGAAGAGACCTCACCTGGAAATTGTCGTTGACACTCCCTTTTGCGATGCGCAGTCTGGCGATGCTGGCCAGGTCCCTGGTGAAGATGCTTTGAATGGGGACGTCTAGCTCAGCATTCTCCATCTTCTCACAGTCGATGTACAGCTGGGCCCTGTCCTCCTGCACAAACAGGGTGATGCTCTTCCACTGGCCCGTGGCCAGGAGTGCTTCTTCCACTGACACCACATGCTGCTTGCCCTGTACGGTCAGGCTCAGGTCCAGGGTGCTCGCTTTGCCATTGGAGACCACGCTGAAGACGTGGCCAGAGTGGTCTTTCCGCTCCACCGCCAGCAGTGTGCCTCGGGTCTTCTTCATCTGCCTCAGGGAGGCCAGGAGGAGAAAGCCTTTCTCTGCCCGCACAGCATCCACTAGGTCTTGGAATTTGTCATCAGGCACAGGGGGGATCAGGTTGGCATCCTCGATGCGGAAGGCTGGGCTGGAAGGGTCAGGACCCTTCACCAGTCGGCGCCCAGAGCCCTTGCGGGCAGCCCCGGTGAGTTCAAAGAGGTCGAACACGCTGTTGTCTCCCCCAGACTCTGTTAGGAGCAGGACACACTGTGAGCTTTCTAGACAGGGGCCAGGGCTTGGGGGCTCAGCTCTGAGGGCTGGGGCCAGAGGGACTGTGAAAATCACTGGAAGAGCTGGGAAACACCCTGGGCAGAGGGAACCTGCATCCTGACGGTCAGTCAGGGCTCAGGGAGAGACAGCTGGGAGAGGAGAGCTGGGAGGGAGGCACACCTGGGGTAACCAGCACCTCCTCATCTTCCCTCCCCCTCAAAGGCATTATACAGACTCACCTGGAATGCGGCTGGAGCCACAGGCATGCAACAGGAACAGGACACTGAGTCCCCAGGTGAGCCCCATGATGGAGCTGTTTGTGTCCAGCAGGGAGCCTGCAGCAGAAGCAGAGCCAGGGTTAGAGATGGCAAAGCAGGTAGACTGGGCAAAAACTGGGGGCTGGGCATGGGGCCAGGTCCCTGGGGATCCCCTCTTGGCCCCACATTTGCTGGAATGAAGGGGAACAGAATTTACTTTGGAGAGGGCATCAGGAAGAAAGTGAGAGTTGAAGGCAAGAGTTTGTGGTTTTAAAGTTTGTGTGTGGGAGCAAAACCCAATGATGTGGGGGGTTTCCTTGGGAAGTCGAGGGTAAACAGCAGGAACAGGAGATGTATTTGGGGGGCTGTGGGGAGGGCATGGGGAAGTGGACTCTTCTCTAGAGAACTGATAGATTTAGGGGGGACTTAGAGAATAGAAGAAAATATTGGGGTGCCCCGAGGAGTGGTTTGTGAACCCCAAGGCTGGAGAAGATGGCTCTGGATCTCTTCCACGAGAAGAGACACTCCCAGCGGCTGGGAGGGACAGAATGGGGTCCTAAGTCTCTGAGGGGCTGGAACC